ACGGAGGACAAGGCCCTTCGCAGGCATGGGGAATTCCTGGGAAAAGATAAAAAGGAAATGGTTTAGCTACGCTGCAAGTTACTGGCGCTGTGCCCGCTCAGGGAGGCACTCAGCACTTGCACAATCGCCTACTTATTTAGTAGTAGTGGTAAGCATGCTTGTAATAAAATTGATAAATACAGGTTGTGTTGCAACAACGTTAGCCATTTTTTATTGGGCCCAGGCGGCTGAGCGGCTAGCCCGCGGATTATTGGTGAAGCTTCATAGTTACATTTTAAAAGATCAAGGGTTGTGGTTGGAAATCCGAAGCTTTTTGACCTTAGTGGCTAGGGCAACCCCGGCAGACGGAAATAACCCAGAGATAACCAATCTAGCGTCTTTTTGTCGTAATCTGTGTAACTCTTATTCATGAAAGTCGGAATTGAAAGACAACTATATCTACAGGAGAGCAAACATCGAACGCAATCAATTGGACATGAACAGCACTGACCATAGGAGAAACCAACTAGACCGAAAAAATCGATACCCTTAGACACAACTGAAATGGGTGCGTGGAGGGTTAGGATGATAGCAATAATAAGGACACCGCAATTCATATTGGCATACATACACGAACCTCTGATGCGCCAGAGCCTTCCCCTTCGACAGGAAGGAGGTTTTGTACTTCCTCAAGAAGGCCTTCGGCAAGTCTTTGCAGTTTCAAATTTGCCTGAATTCCGGGGTTTGGTTTCGCCATAAAAATATCCGAAGTACTACTTAGGTCCTCCGGTGGACTAAGGATACCAGCATCCAACGCCTCCTGAGACACTGAGTAGGATTCCGTGGGAGAAACATCGCCGAGAGGCCTGCGGATAGGACGTAAATGAACAATTTTCATAACTATTGGGTGGGGACGAAAAGAAGACAACGGAGAAAATCCGAGGAAACGTACGCGGACACCAACTTTCCTGGAAGAATCAACGTATAGTAAATAAAAAATGCCAGCTAACTACCAAGGCAAGTCAGAATGTGAAAGGACAATGCAGAACCAACTTAATGCCACTGTAAGTCGGAGGCTGATTAACGCGACCACACCTGACTATGTTAGAAAGAATGACTTTCCGAATCCGCATTCAGAACGATGCATTTGTTAGGAGTACCCAGAAATTACTTCGCACATGAGATAACCAAACGTAAAAAGGCATACGAATTTATACCACGACAATCTGTCCGACTCGTTGTCTACTATTCCACTGGCTCCTGTGTGTGCAGCATTTGTTGAAGGTTCTTCGAAGCAGACAGAAACAGTCTCACAACGGTTGATTGGGTCCGGTAAGCTGGAGGATGGTATCACCTAAATGGTGTAGGCATGAATGCAAAAAAGGCTTTAATAGGTAGAAGGAATCAAATAGTAGAAAATCGAATTAATACCTATATTTAATTTCGTAGCGAGATGTGATAGTTAAATAGTCCTATAGATGGAATGTTTAGGACAACGCTTTTCAAATTGAGGCGCTATTTTTCTCCCTCCATTCGCATGCAAATTTTCTTATATATATGCCAGTTGGCCTACTTCGCCCATTATAAAGCGATTTTTATCTCTCTTTGTTAATTTAAACTACAATGAGGTCATTAGTGTACGAGGTCGCGAAACTAGTGCCGTTTTGAAGGCAGTCCAATATGGCCTGTATTTGACGAATATTCCAAGGAAATGTATCCACGATGTATAAAATTGCAGTCATTCGCAAGTATGGATTACTTTTGATTCTCCGGTGTTGCGAGTTTATGCACCTAATTTTATGCATACTGAAGGATGTTTTTGCTGAAAGTTTTGGAATGATATTTTCAAAATAAAGCATATCTCTCTTTCTTTCTACGGGAAGAAATTAAACCAAAAAAGAGTAAGCACACCAATTTGTAGTAGAATTACTCCAAGCAACAGTAACCAGATCCAGTGAGTAGAAAACAAGCTGAGCACTGAAATGCAGACAGTTGTAGCTCCCCGGGGAAGTTTATATGTCTTTAAAAAATGCCAACTTACTAGCTTTGCGGTTCATAAATTGGCCCAATGAGAGTACGCTTTTTTAAAAATAACGAAGGAAACCGAGACACTGGGAGATATAAAAACGCGAAATCTTACCTCTAGATCCCGAATCGGTTCACTCAGTACTTTTTCTTGACAGACACTTGGATTTACGTAGTCTTCAACAGTGTCGGTGACTTCTTCAATCACAACGTGATCTACATCAACACAGAGTGGATCGTCTTCGTGGATGTACGTTCTGGGGTCTGAACAATCCAGGTCAGATAGTATCTCGGCAGCTGGCAGAGATAACAGTGGCCTCCGCTGAAAATGAGCAATGCGCAA